GCAATGTTATCCTGCTGTGGGTAATTCCTACACAACCAGCAGAAGACACCTTCCCCTGGAGCTCTTAAGACATTTGGCATCCAAGTATCATCTCTAGTAAGGCAGCCAGCACTCTTACAGATTTTTACAGGACTTGAACTGAGCATCGATTATCTCAAACTAGTATTTCTTCATGTGATTCTGGGTTATAATTTTAGCAGTTTTTCTTACTCAGAATATCTTTCCAATGGACCTGTATCAAGAACTTATTTTTTTAATAATCTAGTAGAATAATAGATTCATAGAGTTGGAAGAGACCTTGTGGGCCATCCAGTCCAACCCCGTGCCAAGAAGTAGGAAAATTGCATTCAAAGCAATTTGAATGTAATGTATCAGTAGCTTCCACTCTCCTCTGTAGGCTGTGCTCACTCCTGTATTGTTGTCATTGTATACTTTCATGTCCTTTCTGACTTATGCCTGACCCTAAGGTGACCTTATCACAGTGTTTTCTTGGCAAGATATCAGTGAGGATTTGTCTTTGCCTTCCGCTGAGGTTGTGTATGACTTGCCAAGGTCACCCTGTGGGTTTACATGGCTGAGCAGGGATTCAAACCCTGCTTTCCAGAATGACAGTCCAATTCTGAAAACTATATTGCACTGGGGCCCATCCCTGCATTATACTACCCAGGGTTTATTACCACTAATGTCTTATTTGATGGTTATGTTAAATTTATGACACAATCCATGTATCTGGAAATATAAATTAAATTTGTTCTGGAAATATAAATTAAATCATTAAATCAGTAGTTCTCAACCTTCCTAATGCTGTGAACCCTTAATACGGTTTCTCACGTTGTGGTGACCCCCAACCATAAAACTGTTCCTACTTCATAACTGTAATTTTACTAGTGTGATAAATCGTAATGTAAATATCTGATATGCAGGTTGTATTTTCATTTACTGGACCAATTTGGCACAAATACCTGGTCCGCCCACATTTGAATACTGGTGGGCTTGTCGGGGGGATTGATTTTGTCATTTAGGATTTGTAGTTGCTGGGATTTATAGTTAACCTGCAGTCAGAGAGCATTCTGAACTCCACCAATGATGCAATTGAACCAAACTTTGCACACAGAACTCCCATGACCAACAGAAAATACTGGAAGGGTTTGGTGGGCATTGACCTTGAGTTTTGGTCAATATATTCAATATGCCCCAATGTGAACACTGGTGGAATTTGGGGGAAATAGACCTTGACATTTGGGAGTAGTAGTTACTGGGATTTATAGTTCACCTACAATCAAAGAGCCCCTTGAACCCCACCAACAATAGAATTGGGCCAAACCTTCCACACAGATCCCCCATGACAAACAGAAAATACTGGAGGGATTAGGGTTCCTAAAACCATCAGAAATATGTTTTTGGTGGTCTTTGGGGACCCCTCTGAAACCCCCTTTGTGACCCTCCCTAGGGGTCCTGACCCCCAGTTGAGAAACAGTGCATTAAATAGTGTCTTGAGCATAGTCGAGTCAGGCTGCATTTGGTCTTTTTAAGCCACTCATACAGCCTCCCACTGAAGATGGTAGGCCTCCAAAATGGATCAGCAGCAGTTCATCACTGCAGGAAATGGGATTAAAAGGGTTTACCACTGCTATGGCAACAGCCAAGTTCTACTCTTAAAATAGTTTAGCGACTGTAGGTGATGACTTTGAGCTTACGTATGAGTCACCTACAGAATCTAGTACCAGTGACCTGTTGCCTTGTACTTTGTGCCAAACAATGCACTGCGCACTCTCAGTGGTAGCTCCTCTTTTCATTGCATGTGTGTTTTAATTCTGTAACTGCCTATTTTTCGAAAACAATGCTACTAATAGAAAGGAGATGTGTCATTTTGGCAGTAGAACATGTTTTCGTAGCCTCTGTCATCCCTATCTCCCTGTAATGTTTTGAAGTAGTATTATTAGCTTTTGTTGAGTGCATGTTTTAATGGTGTGTTGTATTTTAAAAAAAACATTTTTGTTCTTTTCCTCTGTGTTTCTAACAGAAATGCAGGATATAAATATCCTAAATAAAATGTTCTCTGTGTACAACATATTGGAAGGGTTTGGATTGTATCTGATCCTTGCATGTGAAAATAAGTTAACAACATTAAATAGATAGTAACTGTTAACCACAGGGCTGCGGTGGGTTAAGCCACTGAGCTGCAGTACTTGTTGACTGAAAGGTCAGCAGTTCGACTCCATGGAGCAGGGTGAGCTCCTGTCGTTAGCCCCAGCTTCTGCCAATCTAGCAGTTCACAAACATGTGAATAGATACTTTAAAATATAATAGGGGTCCCCTGGTGGCACAGTGGGTAACCATTAAGCTGTGAACTTGCTGACTGAAAGGTTGGTGGTTCGAATCTGGGGAGCGGGGTGAGCTCCCGCTGTTAAGCCCAGCTTCTGCCAACCTATCAGTTTGAAAACATGCAGATGTGAGTAGATCAATAGGTACCGCTCTGGCGGGACGATAACAGCGCTCCATGCAGTCATGCAGGCTACATGACCTTGGAGGTATCTACGGACAACGCCAGCTCTTCAGCCTAGAAATTGAGATGAGCACCAACCCCCAGAGTTGGACTTGACTAGACTTAATGTCAAAGGGAAACCTTTACCTTTAACTGTTAACCTTTTAAGGGACTCAAAAATCAAATGAAGTAGCTATTTGAGGATTGCTACATAATAAACAAATAGGTTGTTGTAGTATTGGTGAAGGCATTGCACTGTTAGTATATGAATGATCATTACATGCTCCCTGGGTTCACTGAAAGATCAAAGTTCTCAAGTATTTTTCTGTCCTTCAATGTTGATCAACAGCAATCCAAAAAAAAGATTAGTTTACCCGAGTTGGAAAACACTAATCAGTATGCGGCTGCTTAAAAAGCAGAAAACTTTCTCCATATTTTGCTGCTCTGATATTGTAAACATATTTTTTTTCTTTGGAGATTGCTTATAAAGCAATTTTCCCACACAAATGACCTATATACATTTTATCCTAATAAGGCTATTTTGGCTGTTCAACACAGATTGCTTTTCAGTATTTTTATGTAGCATTTTACTCTCCTTAATTATGTCTCCTGTGGATTCAAAATAATTGGCATCGACAAGGTTTCTACATTAATGCAAAAGCAAGCTTTTATAAATTGATTTTGATTTTGAAAACTTTTAAAATATATTCCTTGGAGACAAGGACATCTAAACACCTCTATAATCTGATCATAATACATACGCTCTCTTGAATCTAGCTCCATGGAGCATGATGGAAAGTATGCTTAAGATGGTAAACATTCAGGACCAAGTTTGTGTTTACTTGGGAATCAAACCAATTTCAAGTGTGTTGTCATGTAACCATGCATAAAATGTCAAGCCCATGTGTATTTACTCCCAAATGAGCACCACTGAAAATCACTTTGAGTACAATGTATATATGTCTAAGATCTGGTTACTCATCACATTGAACCTTGGTCAATAGCATCAAAACGCTAATTAGCATTAAGGAGTCTTAATTCTTCCACTGAACAGTGTCCAGTTGTGCAATGTACAACTCAGTTCCACGAAGAAAATACTTGGAAAAATAAGAATGTTCTTACAACTGCTTTAACTATGCTGATTTTTGACCTGGCCATTACATTGGGTTGCATCTTGGCTCCATCCTAGTATGCAGAATTCAAAGTTGGAACTCCTTCCCATGGCTATTATGAAGTAATGTCTGGGTGTGATGGATAGGAAAAGACATTCAGGTAAAGAGAACTTAAGTTTCCCATCTGATCCCAGACTGACAGTTCATAATAAGCAATTGTGGGACACATTTTCTAGGAATTTAATAATGATCGACCATATTAGGCTTAAAGTTAGATGGATGCCCCTAACATCATGGTGGTCTATCAAGAAAAGGAATATTCTTTTTACATCAAGCTGGGATTTGGAAGCAGTTTCCATTTTAAAATGTCTCCACAAAGAAATAAAAAGCTTTAAAGCAGAGGCTGGATTGCCATCTGTCAAGGGTGCTTTGAATACGATTTTCCTACTTCTTGGCAGGGGGTTGGACTGGATGACTCCAAGATCTGTTCTATGATTTTATGAGACAGTGATCACATTAGCAGTTTTATGTTTGTATTTAATATCCTTTTTATTTCAAGTGTTAGGTGCAAATAATAATTGGGGCATTTTCTGCCCTGGGACCTTTGTGAACTGTCAAAAAATGTCCTCCATGGGAAAATGAAAGGAAAAAAAAACCCAGAAGAGGCTGGAAATCCAATTGCTGTATTGAAAGAAACAGTATACAGTGGTCCGTCACTACTTCGCAGTTCGCTTTTCGCAGACTTGCTGTTTCACGGTTTTTCACATTCAAGGAGGGTTATGTAGTGTATAAATGTGTGAGGAGGGCTTATAAAGATTTAAAATAGGATGTAACTACTAAAATAATGTATAAATATTAAAATAAATATAACTTCCCTACTTCGTGGATTTTCACTTTTTGCGGGTGGTCCTGGAATGTAACACCCACAATAAGTGAGGGACACTATTATATTAAACATTGCAGGGACCCCCCCCCCCCCCCCGGCGCAGTCACTTTAAGAAATAATTTACAGGGAGAATCAGCTCACTTTTTTTGCCCCAAAGGAAAGGCAGATGGCAAATCTGGAGATCAAAAACTGCAAATGCAGTCTTAAGGGCCACGCACAGTCCCACGACCACACTGATTTAGTGTGTCAAAAACTTTTACAGATCACAAGATCCTAATTTAGTCCAGCTACATCAAGTACTCAATTTACTTTTAAAAGAGATTTCCAAAGAAGTATGCGTATTACTTATTGTAAAGATACTTTTGTTGTGCTTCATCATGGTTAGATAAGAGATGACATTTAGTAACTGGAGAGTTTTGTATATTGCACACAGCTTGCTGTCTAGATGCAACTCAGGATTTAAATCCGCTCCACAACTGTATAAGTGTTAGGTTTAAATAACAAGACACTCTTGATATCCATGCATTGTTTACTTTTAATAATTTGATAAATACAGGAAAAAATTGCAATAACCTATCAAAATTATATTTTAATTGAAAAGGTATTTTAAAAAGGCTTATTCACATTCATTTCAGATTATATACAAACCAGTGTTCAAAATCAAAACAAAACAAAAAATGTAATGCTTGTGTCAAATTCCAACTCTGCTCCATTTCCAGTATTCCCGCTTTGAGCAGACCAAGTTGTGAGACAAGATCACATGACTATACATATCCAGGTGTTATAGCTTTCTTCATAAAAGTCTTTAGAAATAGCTGCCAAAATAATTTCCAAGAAAACTAAAATATTTGTTTATCCCAACATTTCCTTTAATGTACTCCAATAATAGTTTCTCTCACTGATCAGCAACTTGACATGTACAAGAGAGAGAACATACACATCTAAGATCCTGTGAGTCAAAGAAATCCAAGCTATGTCTTGTACTTCAAGGTTTAGCCTTTTCAGCTTGAGTACAGCCCTTAAAGGTTTGGTAGTCACCGGGGTTTGAAAATATTACGGTACATTGGCCCAATATCCTAAGTACCACTGGAACTTTGATGTGCCTGATTTGAAAACATTAGGATGTTTATCTGATGCAGGTTTTTATGCTCTCTCACTTTTGTCCTCAGCCTGTATTAAATTACAATACTCTGAGCAAGTAGAGAAAATCCATTGCCATACTTTCCAAGTAATGCTTGGCCTAGCACTTCTAATTTCTGTTAGCAAGCTGTCCCTAAAAATTTATGCAAATATTCAGATAGGTGAAAGTACACATAACTGACAATATAACCATGTAAGAGCAGCCATTCTTACTACAAAACCCCTTAAAATTAATGGGTTTGATGACAAAGAGATACATATGTATATAGTCTTAATAGAGAGATATTTCCTTTAAAAGGGTATGAAATTTAAAGTATTTAAGGGTTTTTGCATAACTGGACAACTTCACTGATGAAGCAATTATTGCCTAGTGGTTTTTCTAACTTCCAGGATGAAGATTAGCTTAGTACACCATCTTTTGTATCTGGGTTTTGCTTCTGACTACACTCCTAGGTCATTATTGAAAAGATAACCTGGTGCTGTATCTTACAAAATGGTGCTCTTACATCTTCTGCTTCCAAGATACATGCTCCAGACTGAAGCACAGTGCTTAATGCATTTATATGAATTCTGCTGTTTAAAAGCAAATTTCCTTCTTGGATCTTGTAACTCATCAGGTGCTACATTGAACACTCTAGAGAAACCTTTTATAATTATACATCACCGTAGCTTAGTTTTTAATGTGAAGGTAACTTACATATGTAAGGTGTGTTTATTCAGAGAGCATGAGGTGTAGAATACTCCTCCATGTAAAATATACCTTCACTTTGAAAACTGAATTCTCCCCTGATTTGCCAGTCTTCTATATGCAACAATTATTTTCTCTACAAAGAAACAGTTCATTGCTTGCAGTACAAAGTAGTACAGTGTATACACAAGTGTCCCACTTCATGGAGAACTAAGCCCAAGGTATTTGGTGCAGTCAGTATTTGCTAGTGGAAGACTAGTATTGTGAGTTAATTCCAAGCACATTTCTATGGGTCCCCTGAAATTCATGGAAAGACTTCCATTGTTCTCTATGAGAGCTGACCGTAGTTCCTGCAAACACATCACATACACAATTACATGTGTATTGCTAAATCTTCTGCTAACCAAGAGGTGTAGCTCCAGATTATAAACCATCAACCAGTGGTATCAGGCTTTGGCAATCTTCCTCTGAAGTTATTTTATTGACATTTCCCCACCACCACCACGAGATGAATATTCAAATGATATACAACGTACAATACACATAATATACCTCCATCACCTGACATTCAAAAAGCTCACTTCAGATTCTATTCCTCAAGTAATATTGGGAATAGAAAGCTATTACTTACACTGATAGCTCTGGGTTATCAAAGAGTAGCTGAGAGTCATAACAAGATTTTTCATTTATGTTTATCCAAACTGAATGCAACAGGCAATTGCTGACCACTCTGTCCTTTGGGATGAGTTAAGCAAGTACATCTTCTTTCAACCGAAATTTTATAATTTCTAGATTGCAGTCTAGTAAAGGGTTCCCAAGGGTGCTCAAAATGAGATAGGCAAATAAAGGCAGCATGGCTAGATCCATTTGACAAGAAATCTTGAGGGATTTAGGCATTTTTTTCTGATAGAGGAGTACTTTTTGTTACAATTCTCAAAGGAAAATAAAATTATTAAAGTTCCCTAAGAAGTGGTTACTATAATCATATTTCTGGAATGATCCTGGAAACCAGGATCTAGTGTTTTTGTTAGAAATCTTGCTTGAAAAGTCCATATAAATTACTGATACAGATACAATGTTTTTTCATAGGTCTGTTTTCAAAACCTTTGTTCCATATCAATATTCTGAGGATGTGAAGTGGATATCAACCCTCAGTTTTATAAAATAAACAGTTCTTTTTACAACAGAGACTATTTTACAAAATGATTCCAAAGAAAACTAGAAAAAATTATCTGTTTGAGAACAAATGACAAATTCAGACATTCACCACTTTGTTTAAAAAGACAGAAATGATTTTTTTTGGTTGAAGTATGCCTCATTGCCATTATGTGGTTTTAAGAATCTTATGCTTTCTAAGATCTCACTATATAAGCACACTTTAAAGCTAAATATTTTCCAAGTTATTTTGTGAGCAAGGGCAACATCAAGATATGGGCTGTATAATTTTGTAAGAATTAAAAAGCTTTTGAAATCAACAATCCCAATTTTGATTTCACGGAGCACATGTTGCAAACTGAATTTAAAGAATACTTGCAGCAGCATCAGAAAAGGTGTGTTTTGTGCCAAAATTGGGTAGGAACCTCTAAATTTGTACAGAAGCTATTGTGCCAGAATGACAATTAGAACTCTTACAATGGTAACACAAAGTATACCAAGATTACTTGCATGATTTTCTGTTGTGACAATAAAAAATAGGTCAACCACAAGCCAGTTGCTGCTCTCTAAGTAAGTTAAGGTGGAATCAAGAATTGATGTCTGGTGTTCTGAAGCCTGGGCGATCCTTCAAATATTCGGCCAGCTCACTTTGATTTACCAGTCTCTTTTGTTGAACCTTAATTCAGTCCTCAGCACACTTCAGCAGTAGGGTGCAGGTGAAGTTGGAATCACTGCAAAGAGCAGTTATGTTGCTGGTGAAAGCATAGGCATCTTTTATACACATGGTTCTTTCAAAGATGTGTAACTCAGAACTGCTGAGGACAAGTAGACTCATAACCCATTCATTAAAAGACTGTTTTTACAAGGGGGGGGGGGGGATCCAGTAGTGCCCAGCACAGCGGCTGTTTTAAGAAGTAGGAGGGAAATCATCTCTCTCTCCCATATTTGCTACAGTCAGTACCATGTCCAGAGGTGGTCAAATTAAATTGTGCTAGATATAAAACTGATGGTATGCAAGTTGGTCCATAAAAGGTTGCACCAGGTTATCTGTGGCAAAATAGAAAACGAGCCCAAAGGTTATGGAGATTGGAAGAGCTGGTAAGGCCTTTTTAAAAATGGCCAGCAACAAGAGGGTAAGGCACAGGCCCTGAAAAGAGAAAGGAGGAAAAGAAAAACATATTAGGCAGTGGGAATGTTCATACAAAATATTACATGACATACTTGTCTATTTCCATGAAAAAGCACCTGCCTTGGTAACCAGATTCTCTATATTTATTTATTATTTATTTCCAATATTTCTACCCCATCCATCTCAACCTCCAAGGGCGGCTTACAACAGCAGCAATTTGATGCAGACAACATATCACACATTAAGTACAACATTATACAAAAGATAAATCATTAGACTAAAATACATTTAAAACATTATTATCATGTAGCTCAAAGTCTGATTTAGCAACCGACAACCCAGTCCAAAGCCAGTCATAGTAAAAAGTCCAACATTATGATTACTGCCGAACCTACTGTCCAAAGGCCTGGTCCCAAAATCATGTTTTGAGCTTCTTTCTAAAAGAGAGAGATGGAGCCGACCTAATCTCAAGGGAGAGCATTCCACAGAGCATTCTATAGTATTAAGCCACATTACAGAATTGTTCGAGTGTTGAACTACCACTCTGGAGACCAAGATTTGATTCCTTTCTTGGCTATGGAAATCCATGGGCAAGTCACCTCTTTCAGCCTCAGACGTTGCCCATGGTAAACCCTCTTGAACAAATCTTGCCAAGAAAATCCTGTTGTAGGGTCACCATAACTTGACTTGAATGCACACTGTAACCACAAGAAGATGTAGATTCTATGCTGAACCCCCTTCATTGCTACCTCCAAGACCACAGTAAACACCAGAGTCTGCTCTTAGAAGGGGAGCATAGAGCTTCCTAGTCAATATATTGGCAGGGAGACCCACATTTTCATCCAGCTAGGTAAGGGTCTCCTCCCCATTCCTAGTTAGAAGGGTTCAAGGTAATCTGGGAAGCCTGGTGAGGAGAAAACTTTTTCCGGTGAACCATAAGGTTTGTAGACGCAAACAGGGAAGCCTTCTTTTTCCACCAAGCAAGTAGGAACTGCCTCTTTATCCTGGCATTTTTCGTAATTCTAATTCATCACACTGTTTTCAGAGGGGTTACAAATAACTAGTAATACATTAACTTTATGAACATGAAGGTATGAGAATGAAATATTCTACATTTAGCTATATAAAGATTCAGGAACTGTAACAATGCAATCTATTGATTTTTGTGGGCGGACAAGAGAGATAACATATATATATGCTATAAATCAGAAAATATATCCTCGAAGAGAAAAAATGCAAGAGGAAAAGGGTATGCAGGTAACAAGGAAGACTAAATAAAAGGTGATGGGTGAGTGCTTTGAGATGAAGTCTGTAATCCCATATTCAGTTATAATGATTTCATTTTGCTAGTATACTTACAATTAAAATGGCTACAAAACAGGCTAAAGTTGTGTTCCAGTCTCCACTGGCTGTTGCTGAAGCTTTGCCAACTAAAACACTGTAGAAAATGAAGTCTCCTAAGCCAAGCTTAACTCCCCCTGTAAAAGTAAAAGATAAGGACTAAGGAAAGACCAGGAAACCCCTTACTCCCATCATTTAATCATGTAATTAAATCCATGATTTACTGAAGTGGTTCCTAACCTTTTTTTTTTGACCTGGGACCATTTTGACCAGGGATGACTCTCCAATATTAGTGCCAAAAAGGGTTACAAACCAGTTTTTGGTCAACTTTAGATTTGGTTTGGTTATCTGGGGTGCTGATTCAAAAAATTATATTGGCTGGACCACATCAGCTCTAGTTTCTGATATAGAACATATGCCATCCAGTAGTCGCCATCTGCTCGCCCACAGAAAACCATATTTAATGAGCTTTGGCATTTTAAGAATGTTTTGCAAGACCAGTCACTCTTGTTGCAACGCTGTAGTAAGAGTGAGGTCGCGGACCATATTTTAGTTCTTGCGGACCACTGGTGGTCCACAAACCACAGGTTGGGAACTACTGATTTACAGTGACATACATTTAGTTTCAATCTTTTGAAGCAAAATACAACCCGTTAATCCTGTCTGTCCTGTCAAACTACATAGGGCCCTACTGCTGTATTTGGATAGAATGAAACTGAACAAAAAAAATGAGACTTCAGAAGAACTTGCAGAGAGGACAATAACATTGAGCTTAATCATGTGGCCACTCATCAGATTAATGATTTCATATTACATAAATATTTCAGGTAGCTACAATCTTTCCTAGTGTTCCCTCCTGTCATCCAGTATGCATCCTGGATAAGCCCAATGAAATTAAATGTTATCATTTTTTAGGATGACTCTCAACTTGATTACAACTTTCTGGTAAAAGACAAGTGTTTCCCCAACCTAAAGAATTGGTAGGATTAGCTTAAAACGATAGCCTGACTGCATGGTAAGCCACATTCAGTGCTCTAATGTCTTCTACCAAATTCTTACTTTTTTTTCTTAAGGGACGGGTCTAATTACGGTGCATCTTTGCAATTCAACCTATGTTTATTGTATAAGCTGTTCACTTCATTTTTCTTGTAATTACCAACTTGACAGGCTTTTAGAAGTAAAACATTCAATTAACACGAGGTACCTATATTTACATTACATTATGTAAGACTCAAGCCGTACCTGTTATCTCAAACATTCAAGTTATAATGATGGTTTTGCTTCTAATTCCCAGATCCAGTAGTCTCTCAGGCCCCTTTCACACAGCTGAATAAAACCCATATTATCTGCTTTGAACTGGAATATAAAGCAGTGTGGACTCAGATAACTCAGTTCAAAGCAGGCATTGTAGGATTTTCTGCCTAGATATTCTGGATTCTATGGCTGCGTGGAAGGACGCCTAGTGACATATTTGGAAGTTATTTTCAAGCATTCCTAATGCTAGATTCATTTATTTTATCGATATTTAAATACTTCTTGAAAGCTTTTATATACTAAGCATATGTAATAACTTATTTGAAAAAAAAACTGTAAAGGCTTGAGGACTTTAGAGGACCAAGTCACTCTAAAAAGCAGACATCCCACACATTTCTATATTCAACAATCCTATTGGATGGTGTCGAGATCCAGCCTCTCCTTCCCCAACTACCTTGCTAAAAGAGTGGAAAGTGTACTGACATCCAGGAAGTGCCTGAGATGTCTGATTTCATAGGGGCAGCATCTTTTCCACTTTTCTGCCCTCATCAGGAATCTCTGAGGAAAACCCCAGCATGTCCTGAATGTGTGACCAGTCCCCTTTCTTTCCTATCCTACACACACTATGTATAAATATTTCAAAATCCAAAATCTGAAAACCTCTGGTCCCAAGCATTTCAGATGAGACTCAACGTGGAAAAATCTGCAAGCAGGTGCCTCCTTTTACAACAGTCCCAAATTTGCAAAGCGTGTATTCTTTTGCAAAATATAAAACACGGCTTTATGTTTTCTTAGCTACCCTGGAAAGTTAATGTGTGTTTATGTAGAAAGATGACTTACTCTCATCTGGGTCTTCACTTGCTAGGGAATCTGTAGGCAGTGCTTGAACAGCAGCTCGTGTCTCAGGAGTCGACTCTAGAGGTCCTATCCTATTGTCCCGTTGCTGTTCCCATTCCTGGCTGAAGCCTCCATCATCAGTCTCCGGACCTGCGTTCTGGTTCTGGTTTGCTGTGACTGATAAAAACCAAAAACTTGGAAGACTTGAAGTAAACAAAGTCAAATTAAACAGCAAATGCATGCACGTGGTGGTGGTGGTAGTGATACCCAGATTGGTTTAACGGGTTTAAACTGTTTTAATGTTTCTATGTTTCGGAAGTTTAAAATTGTGTTTTATTGGTTTTACTATATTTTGCAGTATTTATATTCTGCCCTTCTCACCCTGAAGGGGACTCAGGGTGGATCACATTCAATGCTGTTATACACTGACAAGACAGACAATTGTACAAAGATAGAGATATATAGGCTTTCCCATCTTCGGCATCTTGGAGGCTTGTACTTTGTTCCGGCCACCGGGGGGGGGGGGGGGGGGGGCTGTCACTCCATCTGAGCTTTATAAGCTTTGTTCATAAACTTCCATTTTGATTGAATTGCCGGCATTTTTTCTGGCATTTCCTTATGGGTGTGCCTTAAATTCATCCCTGCTATATGTGGTACCTATTTATCTACTCACATTTGCTTTCAAACTGCTAGGTAGTCAGAAGCTGGGCTAATGGCCAGGAGCTCATCCTGACCCAGGATTCGAACTGCCAACCTTTCAATTGGCAAGATTTACTGCAGATGGCGGTTAACCTGCTGTGTTAACCTGCTGTGCTGTTTTCCCTGAGCTATAGATATAATATTGTTGGAACACACACCACTGGGTGTATCTGACAATTATTCCAAACACATTTTAAACTGCATAAGCAGATGACAACATGGTGTAACAGTGATTTTGACCTTCAAAACATGGAGAAAAGAGATAAACACAAGTGAAAAATAACAGCACACTTTTTGCTTACTAATTAGTTTAAGAAAAGGAAATAGAGTTGGTCAGCTTTCACAAGCAGTCAATTAGCTGTCAGGCGTTTTGTCACTTCCTCACCAAACAGTATAATATAATGTAGCCAAGCAGTCTAGCATCTGAGGCCAAGACATGTCAGCCTGTCAAGTTAATCTGCTGTCTGAGGCAGAAAATCCTGCAAACATCTTTCCCTATTATGGCAGTAAAATTACAATAATATTTTAATACAGTTATATTTTAATGCTATTGTCATCTGCAATTTTCTTCAATTTTATTTCCTTCTTATAATGTGAAAAAGGAGCCTCTGCTACTTATCTTCATAAATAAAAGAGGAGGTTCTGGCTTCAGGCAAGTCAGAGAGATAATGACCCAATATCTTAATTGCCAATAAATTTGCCTTAGGTTGCAAGAGAAATTGAATTCGAAGGGAAAGACAGAGTAAGAGAGAAATCATAGCTGCTGAAGTGAAAACAGGATGGCATCACAGAAAAAGGATGCTGACTGGCTATAATTTTAAGAATTCTTTTAAGAAGTCAGTTTTCCCAGGGAAAAGGACAAAAGGGTTTGGAAAACACAATTTTTTGGAAAGAAGGAATGATATAAACTGGCTAACAACTGAAGATAACAAGTACAACTTTTTTTCTTTTCCCAGTGCCTCCCTCCCTCAAACTCCCCAGCTACACATTCCCGAATGACTGAAGAACAGAGAGGATAGACTTTCTCCCTACTACCTCCTTAGGAACTGTCAAGAATGATTTTGCACAAATAGAAATGTTATCCACTGATTTGTTTTAAAAAAAGCTCAGCTTCTCTACTGGTATTTAAAGCATCCTTTTAAATATAATAGAAGCTTACTTACAAATTTCTGGATGCTGGGTTTGGGTCTCATATGATCAAAACTTCACAATGCCACCTTGTCTCAGAAGCAATGAGATCATGGAGGCAAAATTACATTTATTTGCTTGTTGTGGAAGTGAAACAATGTTTTGTTTACCACTCACTATGTTCCTCCTGCTTGGCAGTCACACACTATCATTTCTCTGCATGCACCTGTCTATTCATATGAAAAGCAGACTTTATGTGTTCCTGCCCCTAGAATTGGGAGTGCTATGCTATGTCCTGCCACAGACAATCTGTCATTGTGGACAGCTAATGCCAGAGTCCATGTAGAACAGAGAAAGCAAGCAAGCAAGCAAGCAAGCACTAGATCCTGATTATCTGTGATGTATGGATTTTCTTTGCAGTACTGAACAAAATCATAAGATATTGATCATAGGTCAATTAGACCTCACAATAATGAATCCTAAGAGGTACTGCAGAGCTCAGTAGATCCTGCCCTCAAAGCAACAATCATTAATATTATGCAGTTTAAATTGCAGTCTTCATCAACTATATCTCATTATTATTTTACAATGATAAGAAAATTACAGTTGGTTTGTTACTATTTCATTAGGGAAACTTGGGAGAGTTCAACTGAAGCCATAAAATACATTTGTGAAGCCATAGGAGAAAAATGCAAACAAAACAAAAACAGAACTCACCTTGCTTGTCATAAGTAGTATTTTTGGGGGCTCTCTTTTGGGCTTCAGGATCTTCCTCAGCCATGTTCACCAGCCATATCATTGTTGCTGTTTGAAAAAGAAAACAGAACCCCATATTAAAGCCAACTGCACACTATTTTTCAACCACTGGCTAATTATATACAAATAGGATTTTGAAACTGTTGTAGTGTTTCTTAGGTTGTACACAAAGAGAATGCCAGTTCTCAGAATGTCATGGATTTTAAAAAAGGGTTATAACTGTAAAAGGTTACCCTTACTAGTCAACTACCTAGCTATTACAAAATCAAAAGCCATTCTGGCTGAAATTCTAACATATTCTAAGTGGAAACAAAAATTGGTCTCACAAACTATAACACAATCTTAATTTAAGCCATATTTTAAGACCAAAGGAAAAAAAATGTGAGATTGTGTACTATGGAAAATGGCAGGCTTGTAATGAATGACAAGTTTTTATTTGTTTATTTATTTATTTGCAGTGTTTATATCCCGCTTTTCTCAACCCCAAAGGAGACTCCGAGTGGCCTTACAAAGGCAACAGGCATTTAGAGCTACTCAGATGTATGCCAAATCCAAACAGGCAGGTATATTTGTTGCACTTGCTCCTGAGCTGTATTGTTGTTTATGCCATTGCATCTGCATGCTATGCCGAAATGTGGTAGCTTAAACAGAGGCTGGATGATCATCTGTTGGGGGTACTTTGATTGTGTTTCTCCTGCATGGCAGGGATTTGGACTAGATGGCCCATATGGTCTCTTCTAACTCTGTTATTCTATGATGTTTTGGACTACATTTCACGGACTCATCCAGGACAGGGATATGGAGTGTTACATTCTGAAACAAACCCTGGAAGAATAGATGTCCTAACAAAACTAAATATTTTCCTCCATCTTCCTCTTTCCTTTTCAAAGATAGCACAAAATGTTCTTTTTATCTTGGGACATCTTATCCAGTATCAGTGTCTATACTTTGAGCCAACAACAAGTAAAGACTTGAGTAACAATAAAAAGAAAATATGACACATCACTGCACATTTAGCATCAAATACTTCGGCAGACGGATTATTCATTTCCCTCTATGCAGAAACAAGCATCAGATTTTGGATCACAACTCTGTATACTTACATGAATAAATAAGCGCTGGGAACAAAGTCTCATTTCTCTCTTGAGCAGTTTCAACCAGCATACGAAGAGGCCCCTTAGGACACAGTACAGCAATCAGGTCTAAAAGGCAGATACTAGTGTTAAATGAAGCACAAAGAAATAAAAATAATCTCTATATTAACAAATCTTAAGTGTCTTGATGAAATGCATGTACAGCAAATTTGAACATTTGCTGTTTGTTCTATAAAATCAACATGACTATACACTTTTGGAGAACTCTGTTTCATCTGCATGAACTGATGGAAGAATACAATAGAAAATCTGTATTAGATTCAGTCCTTTTAGCAGTAAGAAACTCAGATATATTTCCAAGGCTAGAAGACTCAAAAATCAGCCACAAAAACTGCCATCAATACTCAGTTCATATCTGTGTTGACAGGGCTAGTCTCAATATAAGGCAACCGAGGGCCCTTCCACGCAGCCATATAACCCAGAACATCACAGCCGAAAATCCCACAATATCTGCTGTGAACTGGGTTATCTGAGTCTAGACAGCTATATATTCCAATTCAAAGCAGAAAATGTGGGATTTTATTCAGCTGTGTGAAACGGGCCTAAGGAACAAGAAGGAAGAAAGAAGCCCTCCAGCCACTCAAACGAATGATGGAGCACGATTCAGTCTCTAATTCACACTCCACTGGGAAGTGTAGGAACATCTGAATCACGTGTTCGGGGTCAACTACATTCTTCCTTTTTAGTCAGCTGACATGTCAACAAACAAAGGAATCCCATTGCAATTTCTTCTGTTTGGTGATTTTTATACCATTGCAAGGTTACAATAAACTGCAGAATTTCAGGAGAGATGGCATTGCTCTCATAGATATTTCTTGGAATGAAGCTAAGGTACCTCCTCACTATCAAGATCTGGCAAAGAGGAAGTGAATATCTGTCCAGGTTGCTATACTGACTGTTGTTGGATGGAATCCAACCAGTGACCCTTTCATTTGTGTGTACTGTCTTCACAAGAACAGTTTCTTCTTACAAAACTGAAAAGACAGCCCTCCTTCTATCAGCTAAGTGGTAACTTGATAATTGGGGTGGATGTGTTCAGAACTGTCTTCCTTTCAGTTTTACTGGATCAAAGTGTTGGGTCTAGTCAACATTAGTCCTGATTAATACTGGGGTGGCCTAGATGCCAGTTCTCCATTCTGGATCCAGCATGGGCTATCTCACTAAAATCAAGAGAGTCAAACTGTGTTTCCTGTTCTGTAAAAATACAAAGGTGAAGCAAGTGTGGGAAGCCTGAATATCATATTAAAAGCACCCACTCATGTACCCAAAAATCTTTTCTTGTATTAAAGGGGAATTGCTGTTCCTGGGTCTTTTAGAAGCCTGTCTGCAAAAAGCTTTCCTTTTCAGCACGATACTGTCAAGTAACAGGTGGGGAGCACACCAGTCACCAGTGGGCTGTACATTATCGGTGCTATCCACTGAAATGAACAAATTAATTGTAATCAATAGGACTAAATCATGATTAAATTAGCCTGCACTGAAGAAGTTTATAATCAACTGATTACAGAGCTGAATATGACAAGCAAACTAAAATACTTATCAACATTTCAGAACAAAATCTCTTTCTTTCCTATTTTTGCTTCTGTGACTTGATATATCTATTGTTACATAGTGGTTTAGACCTGAAGCTGAGCAAGACTATGTTTACACCACATGTAATCTCCAGTTAAAGATCATTTTTGTCAATTTCTTCATTATTCAGAACTTCTTGAAAATCTGTTGTGAAAGGCTTTGGCACATCCACTTGAACAGTGTGAGGTGGTAATACAGAAAATCCTCACAAAATACTTTCCTACTTCCTTCGCTGCTGAAGTTACATTGATAATAACACTCAATCAGACTATAGTCTCTTCTGGGAATGGAAGGAGCCTTTCTGTTTGTACAAAACAATTCAATCCAACCCATCCTGGACTCCAAAGGAAGCTCTGTTAAGAGACCTACAACACTGAACAAACATGAAGAGATGGAGTCACCATCAAATATGTGAATATAAACAGACCACAGGTCAGTGCTCAGTGTGGGTGGTTAAGATCGTGGGGAGATGGGGTGGGATAGAGTTTGAGGTGGAAGAAGAGTGCTAACAACTACCTGGTTTCTCATTCTCTTTTTCATTCCTACTATCAGATTTTTTTCAACAAGAGATGTCAAGGTTAGAAAGCCCAACCTTGAACTCTCAGTGTAAACTTTGTGGTCTTTCCTGCAGCAAAATCTGACTCTAGGCCTGTCCACGGCCATGTTATCCCTGGTTTACACACACAACTGAAACTATGCATTTTGAACTAGCTTACTCTGACACTCTCTTTGTGGAATGATATGACACTACTGCAGAGCACAGTCTGGACAGGTTTTGTTGTCAACAGATAAAATCAAAGAGAGGTAACTTCTGCATGCACTTTGAGACTTTCAAAGTTCCTGTATGGGAACCTCTATTAACCCTGGTAAGTCACTCATGAGAGTAAGAAACAGTAGAGCATCTCATACAGTGCAACAGCTGAAAGTAAAAATTGGCTAATTTCTTGCACACAAAAATGCACTTTCGACATACTTGGAAGATGTTTTTGGATACTAGTCAAGATTAGCAGAGTCATGTAATACTTCTGATACGCCTGGTAAGATCTCAATAGTAAGCATTGCCCGCAGTGGATTAAGCATGGCATTACATTACAATGCACGACATCTAGGCCACCCACCTACAGCTCAGTTGAACTTTCTACCCCAGCCTATATTTCTTTTCCCTCTGTAAAGATACCTATGTGCTTGACCTTCAATAAGGTGCTTATTAAAGTTCAAAAGGGATTCCAAACATCCAAGCTTGTGAGGAGGAGGAATTATGTCTTCTATACAATGTCTTTCAAGAACCCCAGGTCATCCCATAAGCTGAAGTAAAAAGTACATGTTTGAAACACTAGGTAGCTTAAGGCCAAATACACAAGCACAACAGCAACAATTGTTCATTCGAGTTTTAATGTAAAATCCATCAATTTTGCATTATAGACACAATTGATTTTTTTTAAAAGTACCTCAGGGCTTCTACAGATTAAAGATACACCAAGAGGTTTCACAGAGGTGCAGAATTTCTGCTTAGACTCAGCTTCCTCTAGACCAGGCCTGCACAACCTGTGGCTCTCCAGCTGTTTTGGATTCCAACTCCCAGAAGTCCTAGTCAGCTTGTCCAGTGGCCAGGAATTCTGGAAGTTGGAGGTCAGAACAGCTGGAGAGTAGCAGGTTGTGTAGGCCTACTTCAGACTGTGAACAAGGTACTAAATGCATTAAAACAAATGTACCCACTAGACTTGCTTATCCATTTATGAAGTGCTCTAATCTTATCACTTTCAAGTGCCCTTCATGGAGCTCTATGGATAACAAAATGCCTTGACACCATTGTTAACCAACTTAACTGGCAAGGAAGGATCTTCAGCAAGAGACTTAGTAAATAGTAGTAATTCTCCAATTCAGTCTGGCTTCTTGAGCCAAGTGTTCTTCTGACCCACCCTGTACTTTCCTTTGTTTCTGGCAGTCTTGCAAAAAAAGTGAGCACCTGGGCATTCTTTACATTTGGCTCATGTATCAAATATTACAACTACTTTTATAGCATGACTATAGATGCCCCAGGCATGGTTTTATTTTAATTCAATATTAACAGGTCATTTCCAAAGCCAGATTATTTTATTACAACAGTGCAATAACCTGAATCACAAAGTTGAGTGTCATTACAAGATTTAGGAGTATGTGCTCATAAAAATAAATAACACCTGATATTCAATAGTTTGAAAAACACCCACTCCTGCCCCAAAATTTTGTCATTTCAAGTCTCAGAAAGATGAAAATGTATCCATGTGACTTGGTAATTCTTTTCAGTATGGTTGTTAATTGACAGTGTAAGTATATAAGACATGTCTTTGTTATTGTTAATTTGAATGATAAAGAATTGCACAATGGTCCTGCCAAATTAACATCATATGATGGCATGGGAGACCTTTGTGTTCAAGTGCATCCTTTATTCAGGCAGAACTTACGCTGACGCATAAGGAAGTTTTATAAGGTCATCTGGATTCTCTGAATAAACACAATTTGAAGTCAAAATATGTGTTATTCATAAACTTGATCCACAGTGTGTACACATCTCAAATGACCACCAAGCTGCCTGTTTCTACTTGAAAAAGTTGAAAAAATATTTGCATATGACACGGCAATAAAAATTAGATTTATTGCACTTTGGTCGGAACATGATTTAGGTAAAAAATGTTGAATTGCATACAACACAAAACATTGTACAATTCTTTCTTTTCTGCACTGTTTTTATTGTAGGAGGGCAAAACACTGGTGAGGATAGAAACGAAAATTTCAGCTTAACGGCCCTTTAAGGTCTTCTAAGTCAGTGGCCACTAGCATAACTGGCGATAGCAAATTTCATAGTTTAACTACATGGAGATGTGAAGGAGAACTTTCCCAGTTTGAAAATTCTACAAGAATAATGAAATGATCTCTGAATCCTGAGATTCCTTGAAAACTGATCAAGGCATCTCAGCTGAAAAGTCAATAAGTCAATGTGTCTACTTCTGTCAACATTTTCCTGATATGTGCAGCCACAGGAGAGTTTTAGGGGATGTTTCCAGTTAATAGAAAACCACATAATGCCCAAGCTGTCTCAGCTGGAATAGTCCTTCAGAGCTTCTACAACAGTGGTTCTCAACCTGGAGTCCCCAGATGTTTTTGGCCTTCAACTCCCAGAAATCCTAACAGCTGATAAACTGGCTGGGATTTCTGGGAGTTGTAGGCCAAAAACATCTGGGGACCCCAGGTTGAGAACCACTGTTCTACAACATTTAGGACCTCTGGCAGAGAAATATATAAATGAACCAGTACTGAGCAAAGGTGATGTGGATGGGAAAATCCTGTTGGCCCAAGAATTAAAAAAAAGAAAAAAAAAGGAATTGACAGGGGCCATTGATCAAGAAGGATACAGAAGTGATCATCCTTAATTTAAAAGGGAGATTGGTTGTGGCTGAGAAGCAGCATGCTGAAAAGTTATGATTTTGTTGTGGGGTGAGGTATAATTTTTCAAAAAATATTTTTTCCTTTTTCAAAGCACTAAAACGAGTCCTCGCGTTAAAGCAAATATGACAATCACCAGACATTATTATTCATTTAGCACAATGAGACTCTCATACTTATTTACATTTATTTTTGTTACAAGACCTTAGATTTACATTCAGCACTCTGCTGGTGAAGAGGAATAAGGCCTTTGCTGAAGAAGTAGAAAGCCTCCTCTTTCTTACATGTGTCCCTACACAGTACCTACATACTGTAATGGATGTACAACTTCTCATCACTTAAAATATGACACACGGATCCCTTCAATAGTGTACTTATCCCTAAGAGCTTCAATTTATGATTTCTATATTTGATTGGTGACATTTAGAGCTGTTACGGTCTCTGCGTATAAGTCCTGTGCAATAGTTAAACTAAACACAAAATAGCAGTTACACATCATGGGGCTGGAGTAGACTGGCACAGCTGAAACCCCTTACTGAATAAATGGGAATGGTCCTCCAAAGGTTGTTGGAAAAACAATTCTCATGAACAATTCTCCAATTCAATCTGGCTTCTGGATCCAAATGTGCTTCTGACCTATAGTTAACAGTGAAGCATAACAGGAGGTGCTGTATTTCAATGTTTTGAAGGCTACATCTTCACTACCCTAGCTCTCCTGTATAAAGAGTTTGAAATCAGTGCAGGGCTACATGTTGAAATTAATTAGGAACAGGTAAAAATATGCCATTTCTTCACCAAATAGCCTGTAACATATTAGAAACAATTTCAAAATAATAAAATAGTAATTTTCCTGCCAGAAGGAACTGATACCTGACTGCACCAATTCCAAAGTTTTTTGTCTCTCTGTATAATTATTGAGTCATGGAAAACATACTTTAGCATAAACTATTAAGGGTTCTACAAAAATGAGTCACATTACAGTAATTCATATAACCCATCACCTGTTATGTTAAACAAACTAAAAGCAATATCCCAAATGCAAACAGTAGTCCAATGTTATTATATTGTTCCTGCGACAGTGACTTAAAAAACAGATTTATGAGGGGGAGGTTGCAAAAAATAAAATAAAATAACTGCCAAGGAACATCTCATAGAAGCTGAGTGTAGAGAACAACATGTATCTCTTTAGTACTTCCTGCTATCTTTCATCAGAGTGAATCTCTTCTATAGGCAAAGGCCACTAAAATGGAAAACAAATCACTCCTTCTTTGTCATGAAAAAGTCCACACATAAAGGCATTATCAAAGTGTTGGAGAGATTCATAACAGGACTTCTCAAGCTTAAAAGGATATTTTTTTATTGAACTGAATTTACATTCCACCTTTATCCCAAAAAGGATATAAATTAAAAACTCTGGTTCTTGACTCTAATTTTTGGAACCTATGTTCAAATATGAAGTCTAGAAAACCAAAAAGCTGACAAAGTTCTTACCATAGACTGAAATCACTGCCAAGATGAGCCATGCAGTCCATTCAGGAAGATATTTGATAAACACCAGGGCCATTAGAGCACTTATCATAATGAGATAGCCCTGCTGTAGCCGGAGAGGTCCTTTCCAGTGAATGCAAATCATCCCTACTACACCGAAGTTCCAGATCATGAGTGCAACAGTAATGTAGTCCATAGCAACATTGTAAGTCTTAAAAACCTCCCTATAAAACACATAAAAATCAGAAGAAATCCTTTTGCAAAAAATTAGAAGAAACAAACAAAAAATAGCAATAGTTAAATAAATTATGTTTGCATTTGTATAACAAGGTCAAAACTATTTCTGTCTTATCTTAGATTAATAGATATTAAACCTTATTCTATTTGGCTGGAGTGCTTTATTCAACCTTCCTTTCAATTTGTGTCTTGGTTTACAAATTGCAGTTCATGTCATCATGCACTTTCAACTATTAAGCTTCTGTAAAGTGAGTGGGAAAATTATATCCAACTGTGTTGCTAAATTCTACACCACTGTTCCGCCAAAATATGTGCTGAGGACAGTATACTGTTAGTCCTCAATTCTAATCTGTGCTTGCACCAGCATTCTCACTTTAGAAAAATGTTGACTAAATAAGGAAAGCTTGAATTCCTGGCATCTTCAATGCCCAATGAGAGAAACATTTCTGCAAACACACAAGATGCCGTGTATGGTCAAAAGGAAGTCATCTAAATGAACAGTGTTTTCCTTTAAACTTGAAATATAGATATCTTACTCAGGTTTGTATTTAAGGTATCTGAAGGTAATCACCTAACTTAGCTAGAAATGCTTGGCAATTGTCTGTTTGTTAACTGTCTCTGATTTTTTTCTCAAAGTTTCCTTTTTGAAATGGTGACATTGAACACAACTGTTCAGAAACGTGAAGTGAAAGACAGGATAATATCCCTCATTGTGTTTGAAGATGTCCCGGTTGTGGAACACTCTCCCTACAGACATCAGGCAGGCGCCCTCTCTTTTGTCCTTCCGAAAAAGCCTCAAGACGTGGCTGTTCGAGAGGGCATTTAATTAAGTGCTATAGTAATGTGGTAAAGACGACTGGAATGGTACAAGGAATACGAGATTGGTCACGATTCTATTACGAGACGAAGCGGATTAGTTAGTGTAATTTTAACTGTTGTATTGTTGTATGGTTAATATGCTGTTGTACTTGTCTTTGTGTGAATTGCCTTTTGTACTGTACACCGCCGTGAGTCGCCCGAGTGGGCTGAGAATGGCGGTTAATAAATGCTCCAAATAAATAAATAAATAAATAAATAAATAAAAAAGACAGAAAAAGAATCCCTTAAACCAATGGCTCAGAGGCACGTTTTCTATGGCACCAATCTCCAAGAGATGTGGAATTTCTCACATCTCCTGCCTTTCTTTGCTCTTTGCAACAAGAAAAGGAAGGTGTTTACTATTCAGCCTCCTTACAAACAGAACAGTGCGACTTTTAAACTACTTCCTGCAACCACTGGTATATAGTTATGGATCTTCATAATTTTTTTCCTATGATCATAGAGATTATCTCTTTATTTAATCTGATTTTTAGCAGCTAAACTTTCAAGTAAGTAAGTAGAGTGAAAGAAAGTCTACAGCATAAACAAAAAAAACCTTAGAATAGTGAAAAACAGAAGAAACAAAGGAGAGAGATTGAAAGTTTCTTCTTAACAAGGGCCCAAAATGAAAACTGGAGGAGAGGCAGAGAAACTGACAGAAGTACTAACAGACTCCTGTTTTGGCACAAGGAAAATGATTTACTTCATGTGGACTGCCCTTCTGCACCACTGAGAAAATCTACAGGACATATACACACAGCATCGGGCATAACTATGCATATACTACCTTTTCTTCCTGTTGTACTTTGAAATCGTAAAGCTTACACTTTAACAAATGCAGGTATATCTGTTTACCATCTCTACTAAGTCTAAAAGATCAAGATTTTCTGCAAACTTACCCTAAGTAAATGAATGAAAAAAAGAAAAGCAAGAAGAGAGAAGAAACGATGAGCCAACCATGGATCACCTGTAAAACAAAAGTATTTTTTCTCATTATCAGGCAGGTGAGATTTCAAAATTACTATATGAAAGAATTTGGATCCTGGTTAATATAGTTTTTCCCCCTGGAAAATACAAATGGATGCTGAGTTTCATGTAGACCAAGGCAGCAGAAACATGTGGCCTGTCCCCAAATTATTTTTGCAGCCTCTGGAACTATAAATGAAACAATCAACCCCAAACAAAGGAGCAGCATCCCAAGGAACATGACTTTCTTTCAGAGCAAGCCTTGATTTAGTAGGGAAAAAAGGATTTTCTGAAAACATGAATAAGGGGAGGAGTGAGCTCAAAGCAATTTCATGGTTTTTCCCTGTTCTATGCAGAGGGGATGATGTTGTCCCTGAAGGATCCTCACAGCTGGAAAATCTGCCTGGGAGAAATGGACCAATTCTCCATGAACATGTTCTACTTGAACATGGGTCTCTTTAGATTCCAGCGACTATTACTAACACTTCCACAAAGAGTTGGGAATAAAAAATGTCTGCTGATTAGAAAAAAGACAAGCACTAATAAGTAAGAAAAAAATCTTAACTTGCGCTTTTGGCTCATAATTGTAAAATGGAATATTAACACAGAAAATAGAACTTTATTGGGCAGTGTACCCATGGGTTACTATAAACAATTTACACCACTAAATAAATGCTGAAAAATATTGTCACTGAATACATTTACAATTTATGCTACAATTGTGTGACTCAAAGTTGCTCCCAATTTATGGCAATCCTAATCCTCATACAAGGCTTTCTTGGCAAGAGGGGTTGCCTTTGCCACACTCTGAAGCTGAAAGAGTGTGACTTGCCTAGGGTCAACCAGTGGGTTTCCATGGCTGAGCAGGGATTTGAACCTTCAGAGTTGCAGTCCAACACTTAAAGCATTACACTACACTAGATCTCTATGTTTTCTAAAACATCCAGGCAATACCCATGTTTTTCACAAAACATGCCTGACAAAAATTAGTATCACTTCACAACATGCCAAGGCAGGTCTCCAGAGTTTAATGAAAATCTTTTAACATCTCACTTGACAGCAGCAGCACACACTAATTGATTTGTTGCTACAGATACCAGTTTCCCTGCTAAAACATTATTTAAGCCTGCAAAACTTTGCAACATGGGTAGAAATCAAAGGATTTACTGACAGTGAGGAATCCGTATTTACATGGCTTCACAGCAGACAAGTTCCAGTGTGCCGTGGCAATCAAAGGTTGTGTAAATGTTCATTCTTCTCCTTCAGTCTCTCCCATTTCAGTTCTGGCGAAAAAATTTCTTGCAAATGCTCCTACCCCTTTTTATTCACTCCAGTTCTGGCTAAAAAGCTTCTCACAAATGCTCTCACTGCCTTGTTCAATTCCTGTCACTTTAGTTCTGGCTCAAAATTCACTCACAAATAATTTCATCCCTCCTTCCATCCCCTTCACTCATTCTAGTCTCAGCTTAAAACTCTTATATCTCACAAGTGTTCCCAACATTTCTTTCATTCTCTATAAATAGCTGGATTTATGCACCCATCAAGCATTCCAGATGCCTGAATGTGGCCTCTGGCTCCACTGCAGTTGTGCACCTGTAATCGTTGAAATGAGGGGTCACAGTCCTGCTACAGTTTGATTAGTATCTACTATATTTAGATGATGATGAACATTTCTCCATTGAAATAAAGTAGTAGGTTTATGCAACCCAGTCCTGTGACCCCCAATGTCAACTGTCAAATGGGGAAAAGAATCAAGGAAAGCTTGTAAGCCAGATCTCCTATCTGGCCAGTTTCTCCTAATGCTTTGAAGACTGTGTTTTGATATCACACTAAACTTCTGAGTATATCAACACCCTAGAATTAATGTGGTGCCAAACCACTTTAATTGCCTTGGTGCAATGTTATGGAATCATGGGAGTTGTCGTTTTACCAGGTCTTTAGCCTCCTTTGCCAGAGTGCCGGTGCTTTACCAAACCACAGCTCCCAGGATTCTATAGTACTGAACCATGGCAGTTAAAGTTACGTCAAACTGCATTAAATCTACTGTGTAGATGCAGCTTTAGAGCTCTCTGCCAAAGAAGTTTCTCTGGCAAAGAAGTAGATGCATCCTTTGTTGCAATGAAGCTTAAAGCTTCAAATTAAGCTGAAAAGTGAAGTTTGTTTCAAGATGTGTTGACCCATTAAACAAAATCTGTATGAAAAAAATTGTGTACTAGTTTAAAGTGTTTTTATTAAACAGCACTGTTACAAAGAGATAGACACCAGCCAATTACAACGAATGCAGAACCCAATTTCTATTCTCTGAGGACCTCTACAGGCTGCATGGGTCCTGAAAATCAGCCAGAAATCACAAATGGGAATAACATGAAATCACTTCTAGTTGCAATTTGGGGGGGGGGGGGGGGGGCTTTTGGCCAGTATCTTCTGCCCAAAACAATACCTGACCATTTTGGTGTTCAGACAGAGTTTTTAGTGGGAGGGAGACTTAGAACAAGTATAGAGCGACAAATGTAAAGTATGGGCCTGTTTGTTGTTTATTCCTTATTTATTTAGTTTGTAGCCCATTCTTTATTTATCATATTTACGCATATTTGTATAATAAGATTCAGCTTTTGAGATACATTTGATTTGTAATAATATTAACTCTCCCTCAAAAACAAACCCTATGTATAAAAAGCAGCAATTGCCAATTTACATATTAATGATTATCTTTTTCTAAAATAAGTGAATGAGGGAAAGAGAAATTTTAATAGTCAGATCCTCCTCTTTAGTGTAGGCACAGTTTTAGCAACTGCTATGGTTTTTTCTACACTGGAAATCATAAATTAAGGTATTAGTAATTAGAAGAATGACACATCTGACAATTTAAGTACTTTCCTAAACATGAGATATGCCAGTTCAGCAAGCTTGAACTCACCTTATAGCACCGGTACTTATAAAGCACAACCAAGAGTATGGTCATGACAATGATGACACTAATCATAATGGCTGCATTCAAAACAGAATTCAGAGCTCTTTGTCCAACTGTTTCTGTATCTTCTGTAAATGGTGTGTAGATTCTGCCACACAACATAGAGAAAAATAAGAAGTATAATATACGTGGTTTATATTTTTGAGTCTTATTCATTTTTCTGAATAAACAGAGGAATTCAACAAACAGTCCAATAGAGAGAGAGAGAGAGAGAGAGAGAATCATAATTCAGAATACCTTTACACATGCACCATCTAGTGGCTATGAAATGAAGTGCACTATATATTCATGTACGAGTCTAGAAATTTTAGTCAAAAACATAATGCAAAACACCTGGATCAACTTATCCACAGGTCAAATTGAGTACTGTACCTTAACTCAAAACAAAAAAGGAACTGCCCCCATCTCTGAAAGCTTAATCTGTCCCCGCTGTGGTCCCACACCTGACCATTTTGAATGTCTGAAGAGAGAAATGGAGGTGGTGGCCAGGAACAACCCAATATGAATGGGTTCCTTGGTAGACAAGTTAAACACCAATAATCCACTTATACAGATAAGATAATGAATGAGTCCAACAAATAGGTAAGCTGTGAAACTTAGACTGTTCACAGTAATCACAAAATTAAGCAACATGAAATAAGTTTTGCACAGTCTTTCAGTGATGTTGTATACAACATCACTGAAAGACTGTGCAAAACTTATTTCATGTTGCTTAATTTTGTGATTACTGTGAATTGAACAGTCTAAGTTTCACAGCTTACCTATTTGTTGGACTCATTCATTATCTTATCTGTATAAGTGGATTATTGGTGTTTAACTTGGCCAGGAACAACCCCACCCCCAAAGGCACTGGTGCTTTTCCCTCTCTGTGGATGGACCCTCAATTTATCCATGGGTCACATCGAATTTCATATATACTTATATACAAATAAATATGATAGGTTATTCATCTAGAACAGTGGTTCTCAACCTGTGGGCCCCCAGGTGTTTTGGCCTACAACTCTCCAAAATCCCAGCCAGTTTACCAGCTTTTAAGATTTCTTGGAGTTGAAGGCCAAAACATCTGGGGACCTACAGGTTGAGAACCACTGATCTAGAACAAACTCAAGACACATGGAATCTTAATACGGTGAGTAAAAGGTACTGCAGTGTAGCCTGTAGCTCAGGTGCTCTAGGATGTTAATTCCACACTGGGTTTTACAGGTGCTCTCCTGCTAAATCTATTTTGGGAATAGAGTTTAGCATGTTGGATAGTTTCCATAAAACACTGTGCTGATTCAGCACCCCAAAGCAACAACACATCTGAAATACTGTATTCTTAACCCTAAAACTAAAAAAAAAAAAGATTGCAATTTTGATGACAAACTACATATGAATTTAGAATCAAAGATCAAATGTGTTTTAGTAACATTAACATAATAGCAAAAAAAGTTATATTTCAGAAGATACACATTATCGGGTAAATAACTGAAGTCTATGTGCCCTTCTGCTAATAGGCTGGAGGGAGGCCTTCTATGACTACATTCCCTCACCTCCAGAAAGTCCTCAGTGAGGGCATGCAGTGTGGCAAATGGGCAGCGAGTCACCCTCTTTTCAGTTTTGCTGACAAGTGCCTTTTGTCAGGAGTGAGACACTTGCTGGATTTTTCTCAGTGTCTAATCTGTATTCCAGCAATCATGCATATCAGCAAAAGTTTAACATTCTTTGTTATTCCAGACAGTATCACTAAAGGCCAATTAGGTATGACTGTGTTATTGCCTGGGTTGTGTTGCTTACAGTGAAATAAAATGGGAGAAGTGTAGGAAACAATTTAAAATAGAGAAGTGACATCAGAAAAAGAGGATGTTGAATGTTTCTCTTCCTCATATGCACCCCTCCGGGTACTTTTCTTCTTGTGACTTTCATTTCTGTACTGACAGCCCAGCTGGAAGAAAAGCATTTAGAAGAGGCTTTCAAGGGAAAGAAAAAACAGTGGAACAATCAACACTCTCCCATATTCATTCTCTCTCCATTTGGACTGCATTCTATATCTATTTGAAAATGGTTCATGTTCTAAAGCACAAGTCAACTCTTGTAACACCTACACAACTTGAAAAACTGGTGTGACAGCAAAACACAAAGAAAAGATGGTCAGAAAATGAAAGCTAAAAAAAGGAATAAGGGAAAATTTGATACATACAGCTGTCCATCCTTGCGTGTATAAAAACTGACTGATTTAATGGTTGCGACAACTACCACCATACAAAGGGTGACAGGCACAAAGAGCATAATCACATGCTTTGCGCCATATTTCAATGTCAGCTCTTCTTCATCGTCGTCGTCTTGTTCCACCACTTGCCGAGTGCTGTTCTGGGGCTGCCCATTAGATGCTGCATTGGGATTATCAGTGCGTCTCTGACTGCTACCCTCCTGACGCCGTCTTTCAACATTGTCATTCTGCAAATAAATATTTAAAAATTCAAAATCTGTAAATACCAACATGGCACATGCATAGTTCCCACTGTAAAATTTTAAGGACAGAAACACTGAATGGTCAGGGAGCATTCCATGTTACAACACTGCTGAAATGACAAAAGAGATGAACAGAAATGCAGCAAGACACAATCTAGGACCCCATACTGTATGGCATAGGAAAAATAAAATTGTTTCATGAAGGACACAGTGTGAAAATGAAGATTCAGTAGTCTGGATATACAACTGAACAGAAAATACAGCTACATTAAGTTTCAAAAGAAAACAAACACACTGTGGGGAAAATGGGGTGATAGAAAGGGCATCTGTGCACTTGTGGATGAAGAGAAAAGAAGCTATATTGAAGGCGCTGCAGTCAGAAGAGCCACTGCAGTAACTGCACTAAGCATTACATACCTGTATTTGATTTCTGTATCATAGTACATGAAGGTAGATTTTTCATGCAAGTTAATAGAGCTAAATAGCTTGTAACAATTTTCCTATAAAATAATGTTACATACAAGTGTAGAAAAAACTGAGTCAGTTTGGCTACTCTTCTCGGCTTATCACTTTTTTTGTCATGCCTTTATTTGATTTTTTTTACAACCAAGTTAGGAAATGTACTAATGAAAATAAAGTTACATTTGTGATTTTGTCAGGGAATATGCAAGTGCTCTCGGTTCCGTGTGCTTCTTCAACCATTAGGCAAAAACCAATGTGTAAGAAGTCATCTATGGTGAGGAAAACAGCCAATACTTTTGGATTAATTCACACTTTCTCTTTCCAACACAATATCCCCTTTCATGGCATGAAGATTATGCTTTGAAACAATACATCTGACACAGATTGCTTTCCTCTTTGGTTGAAAATAATACTTTTGAGTTGGAGTTCCAAATATGATTTCTGAAATAGGTCCTGATTCTACTCCAGTTTCCTACTCTGCCATGCTATTTTTCTTCCTTTTCTTGCAGTTAGTCCTGAAGACACCTAAAGCCAATCAGGGACTGAGAGGTGAACAGAACAACATGATGTTTATCTGTGACCATATGATGATGTCATTAAAGGTAACTCAAATGTTGCCATTAACTTAGAATTTACAGAAACCAAAACATTCTGTCAACTGAAGAAACATGGTGTGATGAAGCACCTGAAAGTGTCTGTGAAAGCTTATGTCATTAAGACAACTTATTAGTTGTAAACACAGTAATTTATTTCAGTTTTTCAATGCAGCCACAGAGACACACGCATGAAAATTAAATTAAAATAAATTAAATACTAGAAAGTACACAATGTTGCCAGAAACATTTGTGATATTTCCCTTTAAGCTCAGCACTGTGCAAGACTATTACAAAGCTTCTTCTAATACAACCTTGAACTAAGGTGGTAGTAAATAGAGGAAGAAAGTGGGGAGAAATAGGTAGAGACTTCACAAATGTATTTTTAAAATTGGCTATTCATTTTCTTCCTTTGGGACCTGTGAATTAGATTCATATTCCAGTTACACAGATTTTCGTTGCAATTTTGCCATTACAGCATGAATTTTGTGCGAAAATCCTCAAATCCAGTATTGTTCCTAAAACTTTGAAGACCTTGAGTCCTTGAGGCTTGAATGTACTTTTCTCTTTCTCACAACTCCTTTCTTTGGACTTGCCTTTGTTCCTGCTAATGTTAATCTGTTCATTTATTTTTGCTTTTTAATATCAAGGGTCATGGATATGATTGTAAAATGGCTCATCTACATTAAAGTATATCGCATTTCCACAAAGTAAGTGCAATAGAGATACAATTTGTGGACTCAGGAGTTTAGTAGGATCAGGGCCCTTCCACAAAGCCACATAACCCAGAATATCAAGACAGAAAACCCCACAATATCTGCTTTGAACTGGGATATCTGAGTCCACACTGCAATATATTCCAGTTCAAAGCAGATAATGTGGGATTTCTTGCCTTGATATTTTGGGTTATGTGGCTGTGTGAAAGGACCCTCAGCCTGAAAACATTTGAATGAAGTCCTAGATTTTTTAAAAAAAAACAGTAACATTGACCAAACAAAATAATTGAAGATAAACACCCTACTAAGAGAAGTCTCCTAAATGCATCAAAAACATAGGTTATGGTGCAAGAAATGTTTCTGAACCTTAAAAGTACACTACTGAAAACACATGAACACCTTAGTCCCAAACATATTTTAAATTAACGTTAAGAACTTTTTCCTAAATAGATCGTACATATATTGTACAATATGAGATTTCTGAAGTGTGGCATGAACGTCACAAGTACACAGAGAAGGAAAAAGGTGATCCAAAGAAGTTTTCAACACAAGAAATGTGCTGAAGGCTGAAGCTCAGAACTGCCACAGAGAAAATATGCAACAAAATGAAACTTGGGAACAGTACATCTGAGCAAAGGTGCATCTTATGTGACAAGGAATTGTGTCACATTTGTTGCACTTTGCTCTGGTACGTACAAAACACAAATCCCTACCTGATTAGCATTATACAGATCACAGGTCAGAGATGCCACCTGCAGTGGAAGCAAAGGAACAGATTCCTCAGTTTCACCAGCCATTTTGGAATTAAAGCCTTGAAAGAAGTTTGAGCCAAACCTTTGTACGACTGGTTTGGGAGCAAGAACAAGCTGTATGTCTTCAGATTGAATGAGTAACACCAAAGTCAAGCAATAGCCTTGGTGACTCTCAAATATATTGTTAATGTTAAATGTAAATTACTAGTCCTGAAGATGCAGAATGGGAACATGGGTCTTTCATGACGTCTTACCTAATTGAAAATACAGGAGGCAGCATCAAAAAGAAGGTTGCAGTGCATTATGCAGAACTTTGAATGTTTTACCATACTGTGGACTTCAATACCTCCATTTACCCTTCAATCCTCTGTGTTTAGTGAGAAGCCTGTATCAGGTTGGGGAAATGTATTACATTGGGATTGTGCTCTCTAAAACAGCTGTTAAATGAACTTTTCCGGACTGCTTTTAATAATGTCTACAATCAGTCAGCACACTAGTCTGTAGACACCCATCTTTGTTGCCATGTATACGATGTACACCAACACTTTCATTTTATTGGATATTAGGTAATAAATTTGTTTCCATTCATAGTTGCCAGCTAGCACACGAAGAGTCCAAATTTTGAAGCACAGTCTAACTACACATTTACAGTGATGTCTTTGGGGAAACCTACACTGTAGAATTAATGTAGTTTGACACCTCTTTGACTGCCATTGTTCAATACTATAGAATCACGGAAGTTATTATTTATTATTTCTTTATTTATGGCATTTTAGTCTGCCTTTCTCAGCCTTACGGCGACTCAAGATGGCCCACAGAATTGGCAGATTTGATACCATATATTCATAAAAATATAGTTAAAAATATTCAACCCAACATTGTAAAAAAAACCATATATAAACCATTTAAAAACATATAGTTTTACAAGGTTTTTAGCTTTTTCTGACAAATACTGCTAGTGTCGCACAAAACTAAAAATTCCAGGATTCCATAACATTGGACCATGGTAATTAAAGTGGTAGTGCCTAACAGCATTAAGTCTACAGTGCAAATGCACCCTTTATTTCTACAAATTCTCGTTTCAGTTTTCTTATACTGATTTTTTTTGTTTTAGTACTAATTATTTATTTATTTATTTATTTAGAACTTTTATATACAGGTCTTCTCAATCTCCGCAGAGGAACTCAGGCCGGTTCACAACAAAAGATTCATAAACAATTGTTTAAAATATCACATCACATAATGCACTAATACATAAAATACATTAAAATACAATCATATAATTACATAAGGCCAAGTCATCAGAATGAAATCACAATTCATCACCATCTGACCGTGTGGTCAAGAGTTATTGACTCACTCATCGAATGCTAAATTCCAGAGCCAAGTTTTCACCAGCTTTCTAAAAGTCAGGAGAGAAGGGGCAGTTCTAATCTCCAGTGGGAGAGAGTTCCAGAGCCGAGGGGCCACCATCGAGAAGGCCCTGTCCCTCTTCCCCACCAGACGCGATTGCGAGGGTGGTGGGACCGAGAGCAGGGCCCCTCCAGAAGATCTTAATAACCTTGATGGTCCATAGGGGAGAATCCGTTCGGACAGGTAAATTGGGCCGGAGTCGTTTAGGGCTTTATAGGTCAACACCATCACTTTGAATTGTGCTCGGAATCTGATTGGCAGCCAGTGGAGCTGACATAACAGAGGAGTAGTATGCTCCCTGTACCCTGCTCCTGTTAGTAGTCTGGCTGCCACTTGTCGGACTAGTTGTAGCTTCCGGGCAGTCTTCAAAGGCAACCCCACGTAATACTAAGATGCTTTCCTGGCCCTAACATTCTAAAGGTGTTCAAGACATTGAAAGCAGTTAGGTAACTAAGAGGAAGCTAATAATGTAGCTTAATCTAACACACATCCCTATTGACTTCTTTGGCAAAAATGCAGTTGCTTAAGACCTTCTTGTTTCAAGATTTACAATACTAGTTTAAGAAGCTTTCTGTATGCCAGTTTATACATGCCTATTCATTATTCAACACATGATGTAATACCACTGTAATAATCTATTCTGACTAAATATAGTGGAACACAGTCAAAACTTCCCCTGCATAATGCACCACAATATTACTGGTAAAACCAAAGAGCAAACAAGGGCTATAAAGCCTCAGATTTAGCAAGAAAGGTTTCTTAGGGCTCAGCTCACAGAAACAAGATGCCAAGGGAATGTGAAAAAGAACTGACCACAGTACAAATGTGCAATACATTAAATATTGCACTGAGCCGTCCATTTTTACACACTAACCAAACCATCACCATTAATTCTACTGTTGCTGTTATAGATTCAGAAAGAAATGAACTTGTTTATGGGAGAAATACTCTAGTTGACTTCTAGCTCCTTCTGCAAAAAGTGCCATGTCATTTGATGGATCTTCTTACCAGCAGAAACTCACTATAATCATAGCACCTGACAACTGAAGGTGATAAAACCAGCTGGAAATCCATCCATCATCGGAAGCAAGCCTGCAGCTTTGGGAACACTGTTCCTACATCCATTCAAAAGTGTTCTATTTTACAAGGCTCAGGAGGAAAGAAACTGGCAATGATTTCTTTCCCAGACCCCATTAAAAATCTTGACTTCTAGCAAAACTTTTTCTGTGTGTCAGGAGTGACTTGAGAAAATGCAAATAGCTTCTGGTGTGAGAGAATTGGCCATCTGCAAGGACATTGCCCAGGGGACACCTGGATGTTTTACCATCCTGCGCGAGGCCTCCCTCAAGACCCCACATGAGAAGCTGGAGCTGACAGGTGGGAGCTCAGCCCACTCCCTGGATTCAAACCACCAACCTTTCATTTAACCCATTGCACCACCAGGGGCTCCAGAGTAAAACTGGTGAAATTGTTTTTTTAATATGTGTGTATGTTGGGGGTCCTTGATAGATATGGGAGCCAAAGCCTTTTACTACTCATAAAGGGATCCAGGACATGGTACAATGCCCTTGCTACAAGAACTGGGGAAAAATAGCTCTTTCCAAAATAAGCTCTGTTTTGCTTTTGAACATTACAATAGAACATTCACAATTTGCTTTTTATTTTATTCAGTTTTATCAGCATAATAAATAGAAATATGGAGTCAAATATCCCAAAGAGAGAGGGAACAAAAAGGAAATATGTAAGGTTTTATGGCTGATGAGATAACAGAATTATCCTTACAGGACTTAACCATTACAATGTTCTAAAATTTGACCATATTGCACAACTGGAATTAATGACTAGAGAATCTATGTTATAATGGGAAGAGAGACAAACTGAGCAGTGATAGCTGGAAAATCCTTAGTGTATGAATTAATTGTTCTCATTTTAGTACCGTATGCAAATATGGGAGATGAGATCTAAAAGCCTATATATCTACAAGGATTATTCAAACAACCCCTCTCCATCCCCAAAGCTTGGAGACCTCAGGAATATCCTCGAAAATAGTAAAAGGGTTATAGCTGGAGCTTTTATGAAATGTGCATGTGCTGCTTTGGGATTTTAACATCTAATTCTGAATTGCTTTTGAAAGAGTTAGATACAGATTATTATTTCACTTTAAAATCAGACCCAGTTGTTTTACAGTCAAAATTGTTAACATGTTCATGAGATCAAAAGAGAACACTGGAAACAAGGACTGTTGCATACCCTACACTTAATGGATTTCCCTTATAGGAAACAGCTGTGCCTATTTGTCAAGGTGTGTCTCTGTTTTACAACCAGGAACACTAGAAAAGAATCTCCTAACAGTAAGAGCAAAGAAAAATCATGACACGTTAAAGGTGCTCAAAAAAAAAAAAAAACCAAGCAGTTTGGCAGCAGAAACAGTTTAAAGTTACATAAAGTTAACTTGCAAATCTTTTAAGCATTACAAGAAAGAGGTAAACGAAATATGGCATAAAGACATTTAGCATAAATATTTAAGACATTTATATCATCAACACTATTTAATAAATGTAATACACTGTACACAATTTCTTTGTGTTTAAGGCACCACACAATTTCTTTTTCTGTTTTATGCTCACAGCAATCTTGTAAGACAGAGCTTTCCAAATTGTGTATTAAGATACATTCGTGTGTCGGCTGCAGTATGTAGATGTGTTGTGCGAATGTATTGAGAAATGACAAAAAAAATCTTGGAAATGTAATTACCAGTATCTTACAAATCATTTATTTTTACCAAATTAAATGAAAGGTTTTCATGAGCTATGTTGTGTTCCCATATATTTCGTTATTACGGTTTATGTATGCGTATGTATCTCTTATAAGGGGTTGGTGAACCCTTGGTTTGCTAGTAAAACTAAATTACTGTGTCGTGAAATGATGCATGTTTACAACATGTGTCATCAACATGAAATGTTTGGAAGGTTCTGCTGTAAGGCAGTCTACATTGTAATTACAATACATAGTGCACTTACTTTACATTCTGACATGTTAATAAGATTAAGTCTTACGTACAGTATTGGATTGATGACTGTCAGGGGAGGTTTCTTTCAATTGCCCACGCTGGACCTGTGATAAGTGCGCAGATAGTTCTGCCATTGGGACTTCTACTCCACAAACTTCCCTTCTTCTTGAGATTTACTGCAACTGTAAATGTTTTAAAAAGAGAAATTATGTGAAACCCTGTATGATCTTATACTTAGTTAAAATGAAGACCCTCCTTAACTACTGACTTTCTAAATAAAACATAGTTGGGGGGGGGGGGCAGGGTACAGATGTAAAGCTAATGCTGTCTACCTCCTTGGCTACTGTTACTTGTTGGCCACAAACCTACATGTTCTTCCTTTCCTGTTTGGATTTTTTTTTCTCAATTCAGTTTTAGAAACAATAATTGCTCCTATTATAGCACTATGGAAATTAATGCTGAATTATGATACTAATATGAACAGATTCAATTACAACCTACGAAATAAGAATTCAGAAGGTCTGGCTGTCATCTAAAATATATCCAAATCTATGTCCCATAACAGCTACATTTTGAGAGGAATGACACGTAAAGTTGGTTTTGGAACAGTTTCTTGATATTCATGGATGTGTGAATTATTTAACGTGTTTCTTAGAAATTAACAAATGCACATCTCTTTCCCTTCTCATTTTCCCCCTCTGTAACAGCTCTGTGAGGTGAGACAAATTAGGTTACACTGAAGAAGAAAACCTGTCCTAGACTATGTTCCTCCAGACTGTGAGAACGCAAAAAAATTGTAGCTAAAGCCAGCCTGGACTGCTCTAAGGGCACAATGAGCTCTGCTTTAGACAGGACTCAAGAGAAACCTGGGGGGAAAACAAGTGAAGAAAGATAGGAGTGAAGGCCATAAAGGCAGCAAAAAGAACAGAAAGTGTGTCTCATCACCAACCCAGAGAAAGAGTACTTTTAAAAATTACTGTACATATTTCCCAGCCCTGAAATCCACAATATCAGTATGGTATCCGATCTGAAAAATTTGAAAGGTAACAAAAGAGCTCAGAAATACTACCTTATCAAGAATGGCAATTTCTGCAGTCTCCACCCTGGTGGTAAGATGAGTATGCCTGCTGATATGTCAATATCCCTCTTTCTCATTCTAACAAGCCTAGCCAAACTCCACCCACAGAATGCTCACAATAAAGAACTGCACAGGGCTCTTGACAGTTGACCATTGTTTTGCACTTCACTGAGAACTGCTAAGGATTTCAATAAATCCCTTTTTATTTTCCCCCTCAATCTGACAAAAACATCAACAGAAACTTCTTTTCTATCTAGGATAAAACAATCAGAGGAACAAAATGTATAACTATGGCATCTATTATTATTTCTTGTTGAAATTTGCACAGTATGCATTAACACTTAAGAAAGCAATGTTTGAGAAATAATAAGGGTTGTTGTCGAAGGCTTTCATGGCCGGAATTCACAGGGTTGTTGTAGGTTTTTTCGGGCTATATGGCCATGTTCTAGAGGCATTATCTCCTGACGTTTCACCTGCATCTATGGTAAGCATCCTGACGTTTCGCCTGCATCTATGGCAAGCATCCTCAGAGGTAGTGAGGACCTCACTACCTCTGAGGATGCTTGCCACAGATGCAGGGAAACGTCAGGAGAGAATGCCTCTAGAACATGGCCATATAGCCCGAAAAAACCTACAACAACCCAGTAACTTAATATGATTTCACAAACATCTATAGCTTCTTGAAAAAAAATCTTCATAAAAACAATGGACAGCCTACGATTCTTAAAACTTTATACACATAACACCATATTCCAAGGATGGGATTCATGTTGTCTTTCAGATGGTGTTGGGCTGTAGTTTCCAGCATTCCTCACAACTGAATTTGCTCTCTGGGTCTGCTGGGAGTTGCATATCAACAGCAATTATGAGAATTGTACAGAATAAAGTAAAACCTGGCAATTACCAATATGCATAGGTTTGTACATTTAAAAAAAACAAAATGGTTCATGAGGTTATAGATACGTGTGAAATCATTTACACTCTTTGTTCTCTTGGTTTTATTGTCCTCCCATTACTTTTTAGGAACAATAGGGAAAACCTCATATTTGAACATGGTCTGTACAAGTCAGAGAACAGAAATACACACTAGGTTGATGTGAGTTTTCCGGGCTGTATGGTCATGTTCCAGAAGCATTCTCTCCTGATGTTTCGTCCACATCTATGGCAGGCATCCTCAGAGGTTGTGAGGTATGTTGGAAACTAGACAAGTGGGGTTTATATATCTGTGGAATTTTCATTGTGACTTCATAACTGTAATTTTTATGAATTTTTATGTAATTCTTAGTTTTCTAAGATCTACAGAGACACTCGCTGGAACACCCTAGCAAGCGAGAGTCCAAAAGTGGCAGGCTCAAACCCAGAACCTCAACCAATGGCTGATACCAAATGAGAGACTCCCCCCTGGGCACACAGAAAACTGGGCAACTTGGAAGGCGCTGAACAGACTGCACTCTGGCACCACGAGATACAGAGTCAACCTTAAGAAATGGGGCTACAAAGTGGAATCCACGACATGCGAGTGTGGAGAAGAGCAAACCACTGACCACCTGCTGCAATGCAACCTGAGCCCTGCCACATGCACAATGGAGGACATTCTTGCAACAACACCAGAGGCACTCCAAGTGGCCAGCTACTGGTCAAAGGACATTTAATCAACTACCGAGCTTGCAAACTTTGTGTTTTGTTTGTTTGTTTTTTAAAAAATGCAATGCAACTGTTTGGTCTGCCCCTGACACGATAAATAATACTGTAATTTTGCTACTGTTATGAATCTTAATGTAAATATCTGATATGAAGGATGTATTTTCATTCACTGGACCAAATTTGGCACAAATAGCCAGTACACCCAAATTTGAATAATGATGAGTTTGGGAATTGTAGTTGCTGGGATTTATAGTTCACCTAAAACCAAAGAGCATTCTGAACCCCACCAATGATAGAACTGGGCCAAACTTCCCACACAAAATCCCCATGACCAACAGAAAATACTGTGTTTTCTTATGGTCTTTGGCAACCCCTCTGACACCCCTTGCAACCTGCATATAAAGCAGATTTTAGTTATGGTTTCACTGCACCATGAGGGAATTAAATGCACAATGTCATTAAAACTAGAAAGGATGCAAGCAAAATGATTACAGAGAAAAGGGGCAAGAAGCAAATTCAAAGGTAGCTGTAGAGTGAGTGGACGCAATCCGTGCTAAAGCTGTATTTTTTATGTTGAGAGGATCTGTTCTGAAGCAACAACTTTCTATGGGTAAAATTTTTCAGCATAAGATGTTTTATGTCACAATGCCAGTAAAGCAACAGTATAGATAAAAACTTAAGGAAGTTTAGTTAAGGAATTGGATAACTGATGTAGAACTGAATGCGTTATCTCTCTTGGAAAAATTGTTTTGCCTTTTAGGGTTTAAATAAACATTATTACCAGTAGCAGTTCAGAGTGAGTAATGCTAGCAACTGCTCTGGTTTAAGTCCTGAAAGAGCTCCAAACCACAATCGCTCATTTGTTTGTAGTTAAGACTAACCAATTTCCTATTTTTAATCTAAAAGCCATCAAAACAACAAGAATACACCCTGTGGCTTGCTGGCTAAGAAAACCAGGAGTGAATCCAGCCTTAAAAACTCCCTGGAGTTTATGACAGCTTTTAAAAAGATTAAGTCAACTTTTCTGAAATGGGCTACTAAAGAAGGGATTGCACAGCTGAAGGAGTGTTTGTTCCCCTTCAATTTATTATCTATTAGTACTCCTTAGGTTAAGAGAATAATTAAGTTCTGGTCAGCCAATGAAACCAGTCCAATTTAAATGGGGCAAAAACACCAGTTGAAAAATAGCCACCAGATGCTGTTATGGTTGAAAAATAGAATAAATGAAGTTTGCTAAAGATTTTGGCTGACATACAGTATTGGATTCATGGACTGGTGATTTCTCTGCATTCAGTAAAGCTACTTTGGTAAAGCCTTCTTGTAAGACCATGTAAATGCCACCTCAGCTCAGCTCAAGAACTTCATTAATAGTTTTTTTTAAAAAAAAAAAAGACAGATCTCACTGGATTGTAGATGAAACTCTTCAAACTGCTAAGTGAATGTGAGAAGAAATAGTAAAAGGTGACAGAAATAGGGTCAGAACCCTGAACTCAACTATATAGTGGCATGTACACAGGACAAAGAGAACAATAACAATGAAAAGAAACAGAAGAAAACAAATAAATCTTTCCTAAAAAAATCCAAGGTATCAAATGGAAATGTGAACCAAGAGTAGGGATGCTATATGACCAGCAAAGAAACACATTATATGATAGTGAGGGGAAAAGATAATGGAAGCAATATGCTGAAGAACTATATAAAAGAAATAAACAGATGACCTGTTTATGAAAAGAAGAGTATTTTGAATATGAATCCATAACTTTGAAAGTAAAGTTCAAGATGCTCTGAAAGCATTTGGGATAAATAAATCACCAGGAATAGGTGTCACAAGAAATATGATGTGCAGATTTGATAAATGTGGATTTAATATGTGTGGGTATGAATGGAATTGTATGAAAGATGAATGGATGGAGTTAATAATTTTGGAGACACCAGTCTAAAATATTAAGGCCTGCAATGACTAAACCTGCTTGCTGGACTGTAATTAAAAGTTACTAATGAGAATTGGAATAGTAAACTGTGATAAGAATTGTGACAGTGATATAAGATGTTTACATCTGTTTACATCTGCCAACATTTGCTGACCAGAAACCAGAATAACTCTAAGGAACATTATCTCTGTTTACGTTAGTCAAAGACTTATGTTCTTTCAAGTCAAACCCAGAACATAATTGTTCTTTACCTGAAGACAAACATCTATGTCAGGAGGAGAAGACTCAAAATAATTTTAAACAGGACAATTATTTACTACATCAGCAGAATATTCCTATAAAAGACTCAATCTAATAATTCTCAAATTGTGACAGAGTGAAGCTGTCAACCTGCCATGCTCTGCTCCATGGGAAGGACAGAGATGGTGCATGGAGAGTGTCAGATCTACTAAGGAAAAACAGGATTCTGTACTCTTTGGGCTTCTTTCTCAAGGGAAGAGGAAGGAGTGCGTTTTGGAGACATGTTCTT